GAAAAAGAACGAAAGTGGAGCGAAAGCAGCCAGTGAGGAAGTGGACGAACCAACTACGTGGAGCATGCTAGGAGAGCCTTTTCCAGCGCGGCGTAGAAAAAGGTCAAGTAGTGGTCGCTTGCAAAGCTCTGTATTGAACGGCCAGAGCACAATGGACGAAAAGGTTCATTATCCTCTTTCCGCTTTACCAAGTTGCCGCACGAAAAGCAAGTGTGATAGGCCAGGATGCCCACTAGTAGCGAACACCAGTTTTAGCTGTCATAACGCGCGCTAAATTTAAGAGGTGTGACGCAGGGTAGCTAAATAACTCCTTACAGATACAATGGCCACAATGGAGCTTGACTATGGGACCTCTAATCACTGAAAGACTTTTCAATAGTCTCAGTTACAGTGGCCGTAAGGACTGGTGAGTAAACTGCCGCGGACATACAGTCTGTTGAGTGGTAATATCGGTTGACCCACAATCAGACGCGATTCAGGTCGACGCACAAGGCTGGGGCTAACTACCCCGCAGCGCTGTACCCAACACTTGCTCGCTTGTCGTGCGCATCTCGATGCGGTCGCTCACTTGCAGCTCGACTAGTCGCATTTATAGCTTCACAGGATGGCGCCATGGGACCTATTCGGAGTAAAGAGTGCTTCTCGCAGGCGCACTGGCGCTCATCACCCCCAAGACAACAGCTCTGATATCTCGCTTGCCCAGTTCTTGGTTGGCTACCGCTATAGCAAGACTAGTGCCGTCACGGCGCGTCGTCTGAAGGACGCCCTACACACTCTCAAGTGGTGGGACCGAGTCGGGTGCGTACTCTGCTTCGCGACAACAGGTACTCCGCAGCTAGACCACGACCTCACCGAGTGCCGCAGGCGTGCAGAGCGCACCAAGATCCTCAAGACGAGGAAGTGGCTCGCGCAGTTGGACATCCCCAGGCAGGGGGTCTCACCCCAAAAGCCTGCAGGTTTTTGCAGCTTCTGCTGGCTGTTTGACGAGGAGTCCTGTGCGTCCGGATTCAGTGCCAACCAAGAATGCGACAAGCGACACCTCATGGAGCTGATGGTGGCGGTCCTGGGATGCCGCAAGAAGTACGTGCTGGGAGGTGTAGTTGCCGAATTGGCGCTGCAGTCTGGCGCAAACCTGCAGGGGGAGGAGGGCACCAGTGCCTGGTTGGAGCAAAAGGTACCCCTTAAGCATCCATGCCACCCCAGCCCGGTCTGGGTGCCGAACCTGCTTTTCGTGTATGAGGCGCTGGTTGTGTCAATGTATTATGCGTTGAATACCAAACTCAACGCTACTCCGTTACTAGGATTTCCTTTCCGGGCTCCTTTGTTTGGTGTCAGGTCACCACACTTCCTGTCCAAGTCAGCGCCCCTCGAGTTGCTAGTGGAAATCCTCGAGCACTGCCATACAATGAAGGATGTCATCTCCTTCGCCCTCACGTGTCGGCGGATGGAAGAGGCTTGGAGAGCAGGGCGGAAAGGACTCAGAGTAGCTTGGGGCCTCCTCACGACGCAGATTCCTTTTGCCGAGCTTGCCCTCACAACGGTACGCCACTTATACTGACGCACTCGTTTGAACCCTGAGGTGGCTTTCGAACTGACATCTGCGATTTTAGGTGAGGGCAAGTCGACTTGCATTGGATGCGCATACTAGCTGGAGCTACAGGACAGCTTGCTCTCCAGCTATTGTCTTCGTCGACTTACACAGCAGGTGCCAACTGCCTAGTTTTGAGGAGATGAAGTCTGTTCAGGACCTCCACATGCTCACTAAGGAATTTGGTGAGAATTTCCACGAGCAGAGCAAGGATCGCATGCCCTATGGATATACGATGCCAGCTACAGAGCCGCAAGCGATCGAGAGAGCCTTGTACCGCGCGTTTATCGCTGGTGCGATCCTTGCGCCTCTTTATGCACAACCACTGAGTCAGGCACAGGCACACCAAGATGACAAAATATCGCAGCCGCTTGTCTCCTCCGGGGCTGACAGACCTAAGCTAGCAGAATTTCTACGCCAGTTTCCGGGTTATCAAGCACGGTTAAAGCCACAACTTGACCATCAAATATTCGGCGAGTTTGGCGATTGGCTACTTGACGATATTTTGTCTGACACTATTTCGCGAGCTGCCATGAACGAGAGGTTTACACTGGGATACGGTCGAGCGCTGGGATGTGAGCGTAGGACCCGCGAGCCATAACCCGGTGGTGATCAAGATCGCCGCTGTCCCGTGCGCCTCTCTGACGACTGCGGCTACACCCATGCGGACGCGCACCTGGTGGCATTGGAGCTCGTTCGGGTTTATTGGATATGCGAACAGCTGCAGGAGTTCGGACTCCTGTCCCACAGCAACGAGCCCTGGGTTGGTATGCACAGTAGTTACAGTCCCCTCCTACTGTGGCACCGCTTTGTCCCCCAAACCATCTATCTCCATCCGGCCGAGCCTGACACCGATTTCAAAACCCTTGAGCTCGTCCTCGACCTGGCGACCGTGAATCCCGGCGACAACGTCGATGCGGCCATGTACGAGGTCGCCCTCTTGGATTCCGAACAGTGGCAGGCACGCGCGGCTCAGGGCATCTACCTGCCACCCCTTGTTTACAAATTCTTTGTCTACTTCTTGCGGAGGCATCTCGACGCGGCGTTTGAGCCTCGGTTTTTTGAGGAGGCTAGCATAATGGGCTTGCGAACGTCCCACTGGCAGCAGTTTGCGAATATGATGCAAATCTTTGCGAAGGACAATGGGAAGGATGTCCGCACATATTATCCTCGAGGCACGGATATGGAGTTGTCGAATACTCATTTCTTGGATGGGACGGATCTTTTGGTGCCGTGGAGTCTGCAGGTGGCGCGGGCATACGGCGTGGAAGATGAACCGGATAGCCAATTGAGCGCAAGTGCAGGCCCTTCCAGATAAATCCGGGAAAGCGAACTGATTAGTGAACGGTAACGCGAGATTCCTTATTTTATTTTCGAACCTGAATAGCTACTTTGCGGATACGTACACCTCAATCATTTCTTTTGTTACGTGGAAACACGCGTCAAAGCCCCAGTGGCACGAAAACAAAGCTGTAACATGTGCGTCACGAGAGAGAATGATGCGAACAAGAATCGAAGAGTATTTCCTGCACCGCATGGAATGAGGACGGAGGATACAAGAAATATTTCTTTAGAGGCGCGTACCGGGTTAGTACCAGGCCACGGCGCCTGCAGTCACCACCGGCCAATGACGGAGGCAGGCACAACAGTTGGTGAAAACGAGGACGATTGGCAAATGTTCGATGACCTTTCAATCGACGGAGACCTCGCATCCGAGGATGACGAGGTCTGCATACATCCTGAGCTCTTCGAACCTCAGACCAACCTTGCGGAGACACCTTATCACCAAGGCGCCAAACGCTCTCCGTGTCCACCACATGATGACCAAGAAAGATGCCACTCGATGACCTCCTGGCAGCGTTTGCGAGTGCTGTCATTGAAGTCGCGACAGCATCTTTGCAGCTACCTTTGCTATCGGGCTCTTCGCGGATAGAATGGCAGCTCTCCCTGCTATCATCCTGAAAAGTTGGCAGCGTGACGCTGAATAACCAATATCGATGCCCGGCAGCGGGATCACGCCGGCGTCTGGCAGTTCAGGAGTGCCACCGCGCGCGTGTCGCGCCAACGACCCACGACCTTTGTCACCTGATCTCTGTACAGGGATCAGCGGGGACCAACGGGAGCGCTACCGTGAGTGGCGTATTTAACGAGTGGCGTAGGCTACTCGGACCGACATTGTAGCGCGCTGCGCCGGCCGCCCTACGCGTTGCCACATGTCCCTATTGATGCTCGAGCTATAGCCATGTGGTAGTACACCTTGTACCACCGAGGCATTTCTTCGCTGCCCTGCCCGGGTCGGGTGCGAACAGAGCTGGAGAGACCCGAGCTGATTATGAATGCAGTCGTAGTATTGAACAGTACATAGTTGCTATGACTATCAACACGCAGCCACGCTCAAAAATGACTTACCTTGTGACGTCCTTTAAATCCATCAATCATCGGCGTGATAGCAACAAACAAGCTACTGGCAAGCCTCTCAAAATGCTTCCTTTTGTCTTTCCTGCAGCATGCAAACTTATCTGGGTGCCAGCGAGCTCTGTGATCTTTGAGGAGTTGCAAGTTGAACTTGCCAGAACTCTGGAAGAATAGTTTCAAGTTGTGTTGACAAATACCTGTGTCCTCAAAAGCCTTGCAGCGATTGTGGCACCGTAGGAGCTCCGGTAAAGGTAATTGTGTCATCGTGGCCTTGTTGAGAAAAGCGGTACGACAGGCTGCTTCCCATTCTTCGAAAGGGGTGCTGTCCACGTCCATGGCTTCTGCCTCTTCCCGTTCCATGAATTCCCCCTTTTCCTTCTTCATGGATATTATTTTTTCCTTTGCTAGCCATTCATAGAATGTAAATCTTCTTCCACTTCGCCGTAAAAGCGCCTCTTCATCTTTGTCTCTCATCTATCTCGTCGCGATCGCCATGAAATCTTCCCAATACCATTTGCGAATCTTCGCTGGCTCGGTGGACCAAGAGAAGCCAGAGCTCTTGTCGAAGATGTGTCTGCTTGTCCATGAATAGAATATTTTTCGCGCCATCAGCATTTTTGATTCGAGTTCGCTTGCACCAAGACAGCTCATAGCCATCAACAGCCATTCGTACTCGAGCCCACGCTGACCACCAGGGTTCAAGTACTGTATTGTGTCGTAAACCTGTAGAACGTATACTCTTGTTTCAAGTCTCAGGTCTTCGAATTTGGAGTTGTCGAACTCGTAAAATGGGAGCTCACGGCCGTAGGCACAGTCGCTTTTCTCAGGAACAGACATATTTTTGAATATGTTTGGGGGGTTCGAGTGCCGCACTATCGGATCCAGTCGAGGGTTCGACTTGTGCCCTGCCAATTCAAAGAAGAAGGCGAATAGTGATTGATTGAAAATTGGCAGTGAGGCTGGTAGAGGCCGCTGGTGGTGCTTTTATAGCCTTGTCGCTCTCAGTCATGACAAATCTTTGAGGAGCACATGGAAGCAAAACACTCGAGCAAACCCCATCCCGCCGTTCTTGATACGACTGCAGCCGTCGCAATGAACATAGCTAAGGGCGCCTCGCATGGCAACAGCGGTGAGTCGGTCCGTGTTCGACGCGAGCAGCCTGTCAATGACGCTTCGTGGCTTGCGAGAGCAATTGCGTTGGCTTGTGACCGCAAGCCATGAACCGACACGCGCATCGTTTGTGGAACAGTTGAAGCTCACGTCGATCCCAGATACATAAGCCATAGTGAGAAGTTCTTGAAACTCGCATCAATGAAGGAAGTCATGACTTGTCATGCAGGTCCTTATTACCCGGCTCTCGCATGCCTGCTCGTCCGGTACCCACGATGCCAAGGCAGAGCGGTAAATCATTGCGCATTCGATGTGAAGTATCTAGTAAATGACGTTTCGTGGCTTGTGAGCATCTTGTATGTTGCCTCGAGCCGTGAGATGAGGCACTGCATCAAGCTATGACACCGTGATTCAAAGCTTCTTTCCGACGTGGTCGGCGTAGGCGAAGGTGAAGCCGTTCGAAGAAAAGCTCACAATAGCCGCACATGAAGCTGGATTGTGTTACTTTCGTCATCCAAAGTCTGTCGTTGACTCAATCAATCCTCCCAGTAGTAGGAACACGTCGTTCCCCTAAGCATTTCAAGCGCTGGTCAAGCTAGGAAACACAAGCAGCGGCGTGCGGTATTACAAGAGTCTCGATATGGCGGTGCAGAGCATCGCAAATGTTGAAAAGCCAAATGCTGCTGCCTCGGCCCTTTCTTCTCTGTTCGCTTTGTCTCCACGACGACAATCCTGCTAATCTGCAGCCAGACTATAACTCCAGCTTCCGGAACGAAAACGCGTGACTAAAGCGTCGAAGACCTTGAGAGAGAGCATCTAGCCATTCTGGAGCAGGTGTAGGTTGGTGGCCTCACCGTCTTTGTGGCCTTGACGATGAAGTTCCCTGGCGTGAAGCCGCGAGAGGTACTCCGTGTGACCTCATGGGGCCACAATCCAAGACTAAAGTCTGCCTTGTCGCCTTCTTTCTGGCTGTTGCGGGGAAATGATCCGAAGAGGCTCGAGATGCGGCTGCCGGAAGACATCATCTCCCTTCTGCAGATAGGGGCGCAGTGGAACAAAGGCTCGAAGCCTCGTGATAGGATGCTTGCTTCGTGGTTTGGCACCCATTCCGATTGGAAACATTTGCGAGGTTGCGCTCTTGTTGATACTCCCCATAAAAGTAATTGGTAATCCTGAATTCTGGTGATGCGCACGAGGCAAACGTTCATGGGCGTTTGGGATAAAGCCAGGAAGGCCGGGGTGCATCTTCATTTGGTGTCAGAGGTATTTGATCCATGGGGCTGTGCCGACTCCAAGGTCTCGATTTCCCAGTGGATAAAGTCTCCACGCCATCATGATTGCCTTGGCTCGCGTTCAGTCTTTCCTTATTGGTGGTAATATTTCCTCCTCGCGGACTTTTCCGACTGCAGCGGCTCAGTGAGCCCCAACCACGAAGGATTTCGTAGCTGTGAGATTGTCATTGTGTCGTCTGCCCATTTTATTCACCGACCAAGCGACGGCTGCGCTCAAAATCCGTGTTTGATCTACAATCTTCGTCCGAGTTATGTCCAGCCGTGAACGCATGATGGAAGCCCTCGTCAGAAACACTGGCAAGGATGATTGTTTATAGACGCATACAAGCAGCAGAAAACTGCTACCAGGCACATGATTGTAAGGTCTGAGCATTGAGTACGAGTACTCTGGGTAAAAACTGGTGTTCGAACGATGTCAAGCATTACTCTGATGAGGAGAAACTTACAGCTGATTCTCTCAATCAAGGCTGGGGCTGGAAATGGATGTGGATATCCTGGTCTTGTTATGTGTGAGAGCCAATAAATGAGGACGGCACGGACGGCACGAATGGCACAAACGGCACGAACGGCATGAAAAGCAGAATCTTACCCTTGGAGAGAAACGTTACAGTATGAGAGGGCCAGATGATATCCAGTGTCAAGGCAGAAGGAAAGGCTGCCTTGTTGACGTGCTGATCTTCGAAGAAGTAGCAACTGAGTATCCAAGGGATTATTCCCATACTGTACCTTCGACTTATGTGACAGTTCGTGAGCAGAAGTTACTTGTACAACTGATAGAAAGACAAGTGAACGCTATTAATAGCAGCTACGAATAGTCTATGTTAGGAATTAAAGCAGTCAAATATTACAACAAGAAAGCTATGGAGGTGATCCTCTCTTTCCTCATGCCATCACTTGACCTGGGCGCCAACGCACATGGATCAAGCCTGGGTTTGCATCATGTCCGTATGGGGCTCAGTAGCACGTCTAACATCCTACTCTATAGCGCCGACAGATGCGGACTTGTACTTGGACACTGACGAGAATTTTTGGTGTGCAATGGTTTGAATATGTAGCATTTATGTATATGCATGATATGAATGGAGCTGCTCTAACCTGCGTAAATAATTCAAAATGGCAGAACTGACTTTCAAATGGTTTCAAATCTCGCTGGCTGTTCCCGCCCATCTCTGGATGAATGACTGGACGGTGTGTTGTGAGCTGCGGCAAGATGAGACTTTACTGAAGCCATTGGTGGCATCGTGACTATCATTCATCGCGTCTTCAACTTTGGGTCCCGAGCAAGAGCGAGCACCTCGCCCAAGACAGAGAAGGGATTCACGTTCGAGCGCGGGCGAGGATCTTGAAGGCCAACTTCTGTTTCAGGTCAGCTCGTTGTACCAATCAATATTATCTCGTTCCGAGCATACTGAAACAAATAGTGATATGACTGGTTACTAACCTGGTGATGCCGTTTCATTCCTCCAATTCATGATAACAACAAACAGGCTCTGGGCCTGATTTTTGAAATCTTGTTTCTTATCTTCCATGCAGCATTCGAAATTATCGGGATGCCAAAGATGACTGTGCTCTTTGAGGAGCTCCCTTGAAAATTTGCCAGAATTCAGAAAAAATGGCTTCAAGTTGTGTTGACAAACACGTGCATCTTTATAAATCTGGCAGCCATTCCCACACTCTGAGAGTTCTGGAAAAGGGAAATCGGTCATCACGGCCTTGTCACCAAGTGCGATGCTGTAGTCTTTCTCCCATTTTGTAAATGAATTCTCTTCCTTTGTCATAGGCGTTTCTTTCATAAATGCCGTCCTGTTCTCAGCCGGCAGTGCTTTTGGAAATCGTTCGTCATCGTACTTGATGAAGCCATGAACGCTGTTGGCTGTATCGCGCATTTTCGGTAAAACTGGGGTAGCGACGGCCACGCTATCTGCTCGAGTCGGGCGTCTGCCTCAACCACTTTGCAAAATGGAGAGAAAAATTGAGAGTGGAGTGAATTTGAGCTGGGGCAAGAAGTGGCCGCTTGCACCCTCTTATAGTTTCGTCGGCTTCACTCTTCTCCGAGAGCATGCGTGCCAGAGGGATGAAGGTGCATTTCTACATGCCGTGCGGCTGTAGTTGACGAAAGTTCTTGTTTCCACGCCAATATGCCTACCCTTGTTTTCTTCCATTCTGCTCGACGGCTTTCCGATGTCGAAAACAATTTGCTGGTCCTCTCGGGCAATGCTGGGTCGGGAATGGATGTGGATAACCTGCTCCCGTAATGCCTGAGAGCCAGTATATGATGACTGCATGAGTAGCAATATCCGACTCCTGAGCGCGACGTTACATTTTGATAGGGTCAGATGATTTCTAGTACCAAGGCAGAACGGTAGGCTGCGTTACGGGCGTGCTCGTCTTTGGCAAGGTTGGGAACGGGGCGTCTTGCGGGTTTCTCTATGCCTTCAACTGCGCCATAGCTCGTGAGTTGGTCTCTCTTTCACGGCTAAAAGCTAGCTTTGAACTAAAGCAATCATAGTATCATACAAGAGCACGAGAAGGGTTTGTGGCATCAAGTAGCCAAGCGATAGCAATGACTTTGTAGGTTTCTTTCCTCGGCGTAGCAGTCACCAATCACGGATAACGCAGAAAGAGAAATGCGAAAGCTATTCTGCCTAAACTTAAAGCTCTCCCTGTATGAGCTTTGATTGGACGAGAAAGCATTACGACAGTTTTAGTCTCCTCACAATGCGAAGTGGCGTTGGCGTGTGCATGATCACTACAAAGCAGCTGCATGTTAATACTGTCTGCGAAGAAACTCAATAATCTTAACTGCTTTCGAGCATGGGCTCACGGAAGGGTGTGCTTTTATCTAGTTCCAAGACTGGCTCAGGAGAAAGCATAACAGCTCGGATGAGGCGCTCAGATTTGATACGGCAAGCTCGGGTGATGTCTCGGGATACAATTTGGCGGGGGGCTCACTGAGGCTCACCTCGAAGCAGCACTGCTCAGTCTCCTATCTTGGAAAGGAAACTGGGGCAGTCAGTGTTCTGATCTTGTTTAAGCTGTAATACGCAGCAGCCGAGCCACTGTGTAGCCCTTGGTAGTTAAATAGCGCACAAACCCATCGTTTGCCAGGTTTTGCGGGCTATA